TAGCCCTGCACTCCCCCACCTCCCCCATGGCCCCTGCTCCTCCCCACCCCCACCCCCCCTGCGCTCCCCCGCCGCCAGCCATCTCCTGGCCTGCTCTCCCCCCCCTCCAGATCCCCCCACCCGGACAGAGCCGACAAGGCCTCGCAAGGCCGGTACCTTGTTCATCTGGGCTCTCCTCTTGGACGAGATGGCCGTCTTCTCGTAAAAGTCAATGAGCAGCAGCACCGGGGTGATCCACCTGGGGCAGGGAGGGAAGGGCATTGTTCTGTGGGACCGACTGAAGGGGTCGGGCCGCCAGCTCCCATCGGCCCCAGGGCGGGGACTGGCTGGCTCAGGGGGCTGGGAACGGGGGCTGCGGCCTGTCCCCTCTAGGGGGCGCCAGCTCCCATCGGCCCCAGGGCAGGGACTGGCTGGCTGGGGGGCAGGGAATGGGGCAGGGACTGGCTGGCTCAGGGGGGCGGGGACTGGGGCAGGGCCTGTCCCCTTTGGGGGGCGCCGGCTCCCATCAGCCCCAAGGCAGGGACTGGCTGGCTCAGGGGGGCGGGGAATGGGGCAGGGCCTGTCCCCTCTGGGGGGCACCGGCTCCCATCAGCCCCAGGGCAGGGACTGGCTGGCTCAGGGGGGCGGGGAATGGGGCACGGCCTTGTCCCCTCTGGGGGGCGCTGGCTCCCATCAGCCCCAGGGCAGGGACTGGCTGGCTCAGGGGGGCGGGGAATGGGGCAGGGACTGGCTGGCTCAGGGGGGCGGGGAATGGGGCACGGCCTGTCCCCTCTGGGGGGCGCATTCGCAGGGTCTGAGCAGCAGCCCAGGTCAGTCCCCCAGGGACCCCGTCCCCCGTTCGCCTCAGAAGTGGGGAGGCTGAGGGTGCCCCCTGGGCCCTTACTTGGGGGTCTGCACCTCCTTCTGCTCCTTGGCGGCCTGGAGGCAGGGCTGCACCACCTCCAGCAGCTTGATCAGTACGTTAAGGACACCGCTCGACTCCACCACGCGGGCACACGGCAGCTTCAGCTCCTGCAGGGGGCACAAGAGATGTGGGGCAGGGCCACCAGGTAACCCCGCCCCCCGGGACAGCATCACCCCCTGCTGGAGGGGATGAGCCCTGCTTGGAATGGTCTGTGTTCCATTTAGGAAGCCCAGGCATGCCTCAGTTTCCCCGATATTTTGCACTGCAGGGAGTGTGTGTGGTGGTGTGGGCGTTCGTTCCCCAGCTGCCAAGGACTGGCCGAGCTGACCCCGAGATGCCGACAAACCAGGCCCCAGAGGGAGGGCGATTCCCTCGCCCTGGAGCACCGACAGGCGGCAGACGGGGAGTCTCCCTGGGAGCTGGCTCTGGGCAGCGCTGCGCCGCGGGTAATTCACCAGCCACGCCGGCAGCGCAGCCGGGTCTGCGCGGAGGGAGCCTGGCTCAGTGGGGCCTGCTGGGCAGAGCGGGGGGGCGGGAGCTGGAGGACCGGAGCCCAGGAGCTCAGTCTGAGGTGGCTGGAGGCCACAGGGGCGGCTCTGGATGAGTGGAGAGACACCCCCACCTTGGGAGTCAGGCACGTAGGAAAGGGGGGACTGGGAGCCACGACTCCTGGGTTCTCCCCCCAGCTCTGGGAGGGGAGTAGGGTCTAGTGGTTAGAGCAAGGGGGACTGGGAGCCAGGACTCCTGGGTTCTCCCCCTGCCCGGCGGCCTCACCTCGAAGAGCAGGGTGAGCAGCAGGATGCGGGTGGCCAGGTTGGCAGCCTGGGGCAGCGTGGCCATCTGGCTGATCCACTCCGAGACCGTCTTGGTGTCGCTGGTGGTGAGGGGCAGGGCCGCCTTGATGAGCACGTCGGCCGCTTCCCACACCTGGGCAGGGACGGGGAACAGGGGCAAACGTCAGACCCCGGGGCCCAAGCACCATCCCGCCCCCTCCAGTGTGGCCAGGGGGTGGGAGGGGGAGGGGCTCCTCACCTGCTTGACCACTTGCTTGAGGATGGTGTCGCGGTAGGGGGCGCCGTTGCGCTTGACGGCCGTCATGATGAGGTCGCAGACACGGTACACGGTGTCCGGCAGCTCGTCCAGCAGCTGGGAGCAGCCGGGCAACATGGCGTCCGTGAAGCCGTGCAGCTCGGCCGGGTCCAGCGGCTGCGCGTCCTCAAACTTCTCCAGGCACTTGGCCTCCTCCTCCTCCTGCTTCTCCCGCGCCTTGCGCTCCTCTTCCTCCTTCCGGCAGGCTGCCTCCTGTGCCGGGGGTGGGGGGCACGGGGTGAGATCTGCCCGCCTGCCGGATCCCCCTTGCCCGCCCACTGCAGCCCGATTCCCCGCCCCCCCCCACCAGATCCCCACCTGCCACTGCCCGGACACCCCCCACCCACCTGCCGGATCCCCCCCGCCCGCCCACTGCAGCCCGATTCCCCGCCCCCCGCCAGATCCCCACCTGCCACTGCCGGACCCCCCCGCCCGCCTGCCGCAGCCAGATCCCCACCACTGGCTCTCCCCCAGCACTGCCAGCTCCCCTCACTCCTGACCCGCAGCCCGGGGTGGGCCCCTCACCTCCGGGGACTCGGCCCGCTGCTCCATGGGGATATCCTGGCCCAGCGACATGGCGATGGCTCGCATCATCTGGTCCTCCTCCGACATGCTCAGGTCCTGCAACAAGCCACGGGGCAGTTGAGGGGCGGGCGCCGGGCAGCCCCAGAGGGAGCTGCGGGGCAGAGGGGCCAGGCAGGGGGACCCAGGGCTGGCCCACGGGGTGCTTACCCGTACGACCCCACCCATGAGTGGTGGTGGGTGGGTCAGGAGGTACTCAGTGGCCTGCTCCATGGTGCTGGTGTTCAGCAGGGCCTCCATGGCGTGCTCCCGTGTGAAACCCATGTCCATCAGCTGGGAGAGAGAGGCAAGCCTCAGCGGGGACAAGGAGAGAACCCAGGCGTCCTGGCTCCCAGCCCCTCACTCCCCACTCTCCTCCCCGAGCCAGGAGAGAACCCAGGCGTCCTGGCTCCCAACCGTCCCCACTCCCCTCCCCGAGCCAGGAGAGAACCCAGGCGTCCTGGCTCCCAACCCTGCCCACTCCCCTCCCCGAGCCCAGGAGAGAACCCAGGCGTCCTGGCTCCCAACCCTGCCCACTCCCCTCCCCGAGCCAGGAGAGAACCCAGGCATCCCGGCTCCCAACCCTGCCCACTCCCCTCCCCGAGCCAGGAGAGAACCCAGGCATCCCGG